GCAGTCCCCACCCAGCACAGCCTTGCCACTGAGAGGTGACGGGGATGCTGGAGCGGGGGAGCATTTTACAGAACAAATCGATCGTATCCTGGCTGAATTAAATAGGAGCCCGTTTAGGACATTTTCCAGGCTGGCGTCCGTCCGAGCTGAGCTTGGAGGAGCCATTTCAGCCCAGGGATGCAACAGGATTTGGGAGACGGGGGCAGGAAGATAAAGGCCACCTTCGCGGGCTTCGTCGCTGATTCCGGCAGCTTCTCGAGCCGGAGATTTCAAACGTGGAGCCGACAGAAGCCCTTCCGACACTAATTGGAAGGGGCCGGGAGTGACTCATGTTACAGCAGGTCTTATCTCCCCTCCCGCCACTGCTAAATTGTAGCTTTAAAAGGAAGTGACATGGGGTGGGGAGAGACGTCAGCCGAGGACCACTTTTTTCTCTCCCCGAAGGGTCCACCCCATGGGTGGAGTCTGCCTTTTCTTTCCAGTGTTGGCCGCCTTACAGCGCCTATAAACTAGTGGCAATTCCTGCACCCCAGCCTGCTCCCCGTCAGTGTCTGATTCCTAAGTCCATGTGTCCAGGGCATCGGGGAAGGAGGTACGTGCTGCTCCTGTGCTATTTCCAGGCGACTTCGCCTCTGGGCGTGGCGGATCTGTATCCCTTTCGGTCATGATTATTCTCTCCTTGGCCGGATTTCACGAAACCCTCTGGAAGGGGTAGGTACAGACAGAGGAAGCGTGGAGGGCGGAGGAGGAAGAAGCGAGGGGACCGTGGGGACGTGGAGGGCAGCCCCGGAAGGCAGAGGGGCTTCGCCGCTCTGGAAGGACCTCTCTCTCTCTCCTTTGTGCTGGGCTCGGGAGCCGGCCCCTCCCCGTGGTGATCGAGCTGCTGCTCTCGGCTTGATTCGCTCCCGGCCCCCCCAGACCCCCTCGGATTAAAGCAGTTTTTTTCTGCAATAGATGAAGCCGGGAGAAAAGGTGCCTATTACATCTCGGTCTCTTTTGTGTCCTGCAACACGTTCTTCTCGCTCTGGCGTTTCTATGGCAACCACAAAAATACTACACAAAATGCGGCCCCAACATAAATCGATTGATCTGCTTTTCGTCTGGAGGTGGTTGCTTTCACGCCGATTAGCCGCCCGGGCTGGCTGG